TTTTCATCGCTCTGCCGGGGGAACAAAAAAAATGGACGAGAGGGGGAAGTTTTTTTTTGTCAACGACCCTCCCGGGGTCCAAGCTTTTGATTACTGGCCGGTCGATTTTTGGGGGTCGGGGGATCACAAGGGAGACTACGTTTATCCTGTACAGCAGTGCGGTGAAAGAAGCACGCCACGATTATAGTTTTCCGGTGATTTTCATCACCAGCAACCATGTACAGGAACGTGCCAACCCACCAAGAGGAAAAAAAAAGTACCAGGTAGCGGCGCGGTATCAAGCTCAACTCTGGCAGTCTGGTTTGGTCGTGCAAGGCACTGAACGACGCTAGAGGACAAAAAACAACAAACAGCTTGTCTCCGCCTGCCCTTGAACGACTATTTGCCGCAAGTAGGAGCCTGCCCCGGGCCAGTCTCTCCGCGCCACTCACATGGACATCATCTTTCGCAGGATGAGCATCTTCGCCACGTACTCCCGCCGGGCCTCGACGACATCCGGGCGGTTGTGGCCATCGACGTAGACGCACTTCCCGCTCTTCTTCCACCTGAAGCCGAGTCTGCAGATCCAGCTGTGCGCCGTTGTCCGAGAGATGCCTCCTCCGCCGGAAAACACTTCTTTCAGAAGAACAGTGTTCACCCACCTATTTTGCAGTGGAGAGGAAAGCGGTAACAGAAGAGAGTTGGAGAAATTAGTCCACATGTATCCACAACACACGGGCGCACACAAGACGAACACAAAACCAACGCCGTTCAACCCAACAGGAACACTAACCGCGCGCTCTCTCATTTTCACGTCCGTCCCCATACCTCTGAAAGTACATGACACGAAACCGCGGATCCGTTTTCTTCCGGCGGTAAAGCCGCCGGTCGNCTTCCCGTTCTTCTTCCACCTGAAGCCGAGTCTGCAGATCCAGCTGTGTGCCGTTGTCCGAGAGATGCCTCCTCCGCCGGAAAACACTTCTTTCAGAAGAACAGTGTTCACCCACCTATTTTGCAGTGGAGAGGCAAGCGGTAACAGAAGAGAGTTGGAGAAATTAGTCCGCATGTATCCACAACACACGGGCGCACAGAAGACGAACACAAAACCAACGCCGTTCAACCCAACAGGAACACTAACCGCGCGCTCTCTCATTTTCACGTCCGTCCCCTTACCTCTGAAAGTCCGAGACACGAAACCGCGGATCCGTTTTCTTCCGGCGGTAAAGCCGCCGGTCGATTTCCTCCCGGCAACGCTCGGCGATGTCCTCATGGTCGATGAAGGAGTCCGCCTGGCTTATCTCGTAAAGTCGTTTTCTGATGAGAAATTTTCCGTCTTGGCAGAACTCCTTTACCCACTTGCGCACCGTCTGCGCTGTGGTTTTCACCACATCTCCGACGTAGCGGCTGTGCCGCATCTTGTTGACACCTTCCTCAATCCTGAAGGCAACGGCGTCAACATGGGAACGATGAGTGCTACACACAAGAATATTCTTCAAGCCTTCGGCGTTACGACTCTGAAGAGAGCATGGCAGAAATACACAACGTACCCCGTGCGCCCGGTCACACATAGGAAGAGGGTCCAAAAATGCAACAAACAGATAATCACCAAACGTACCAGCTACACATGCTACTCGGCAACCACTTCGCCAGGGAACATTGTATGTATGTACAGAGCACGCCACGAACCAGAGGGCAAGGGCGATCTCAAAGAGCAGAAATGCAGCAGTGCAAGCAGCAAGCACACGGCGCTTCTTGGGCGTTTCCACTTCCTCGAGGACAGCGTACGCCCGAATCGCCAAGGCGGTACACATGATGGACGGGAGACGAGATTCCGTCAGCATTTCCGTCGGGTCCTCCACAATACCGCTGTAGCTGTTGGACTGCTCCGCCTGTACGGAGGTGTGCACAGAAATTGAAATTCAAGCAATCAAAACCGGGAAGGCGTCAGATTGAGGGACATGGTTGCATTCAACAGTTGCAAATTATTGTTGACAGACAAGCAGGAATGGTTTCGGCAGTGGCACCAGCTCCACAACAAATCCAGGATAAAGGAAACAGCAGCCACGAGGGAAGCAGTATGCTAGCAGCAAACTAGTCAACGGCAACAACACTACCACGCAACACTCTGAAATACATTGCATACTTATTCACCTTGTCGATAGCGTCCACCACTTTCTGGTAGATGTCCAAGAGCTCCTTCTCTCGCGGCGTGTTCTCCCGCCTTCTCTGCGCTTTGAGTGCTCGCTCTCGCGTTCGCTCTCGCGCTCGCTCTCGCGCTTCTCGCTCTCGCGCTCGTTGTTCCGGTGTCTTCTTCCTCTCCTCGCGCCTTCTGTGCTTCAATCGTTTTTTGTTCAACCCCGCAAACCTCCCCTTGGCTCCATCCCCCGACGCCACCCGTGTTCCTCGCCCAGGCCCACTGCATCGGCCGCATGTCTCGTCTCGTGCGCGGGCGGGGTCGGCGTACAGCCCGTCCAAAAGGTTCGTCCTCGAACTTTCTCGGACGGTCTCGCCACTTGTTCCGCTAGAGGCTGCGTGCCCGGCTCCTCCCACAGCTGCTGTTTCGCCGGTGTCTCCCACAGCTTCTGCTTCGCCGGTGTCCTGAGGCTGAACATCATCATCAGCCTTGTCGCCGCTCTCTCCGTCAAGTTCGCCGGGGCCGCGAGAGCGGTCGCGGCTTGCGTCTAGTGCGTCGAGAAAACTGTCCTCGCCGCTGGAATTAAGAAGCTTCGCAGCTCTAGCCTGGTCATCCTCACCAAACCAATCTTCCAGCGGAACACCAACACCCGAACATACCAGCATGTCGGTCTCGCTCTCGCTGCTGTCGCCACGGCTGGTGCGGTCATGTTCTTCTTGCGGGCTGCAGATCTTCTCGGCATCATGATCACTGCTGTCCGCACCAACATCTCCCACCTCAACATCCATCTCCACCGCACCTTCAGTCTCCATAATTTGAGGCGAACCATGCTGCCCTTCCTGCTGCTGAGCTGGGGGCTTCAGCCATGCTGCCAAGCTCCCCGCCATCCCGGCGTCCTCCTTGCTCCACCGCGCTCGCCTGTGGCGATGCTGCGTCGACCGGTGGAGAGGTTGCACCGCGTTTTTTCGCGCAGGCGGCGCGACTTCGGGCGCCACCGCCATTGCTGTGCGAGCTGCTGCAGACACCGCAGCGCTCGCTGCAGAGCGAACCGCAGAACCGAACGGCAGTTTCGCCTGCCCGCGACCTGGCTCGCCACCCGCATCCTCATCGCGCCAGTCGTCGTCGTGGTCGTTGGTGTGCATGGGAGAAATATTGGCGCCTTCATGGTCGGAAGAGGGAGGAGAGTCGTTGCCTACAGCAGGGTCCGCAGGGGGCGAAGGGGCCTTCCGAATCGTGCCGTCGGCGTTCCTTGGCAGCTTGCGCTTACCCTTTGGGCGACCCATGTGCCCGGAGCGCGTGTGCGTCTTTCGTTGCGTGCGTAAAGGGTGTGTGTGTGTGTGTCCTCTGGTGGTGTGTGTGTGGCGGGAAACAATTCCCCGAGGGCGTGTGAAACCACCCGAAATATCTCCGAAACCCGAGTTTTTTTTTTATTTCGGAAAAAATCATCGGTGGGAAATCACGAGAGGAATCGATCACTTTATTTTTGAATCGTACGGTTGGATTGTCCCCAAAAAACTAAGCAAAGTACACTCCCAAGATCCAACAGTCATCGTGTCAGCAGCTAGATGACTCACACAAAATAGCAACACATACACTGCCATAGCTCCACACATACATGCCCTCGCCTGAACCTAGGAAACCACTGATGCAAAGAGCGGAGGACAGCAAAAGGGTTGGTAATTCGAGCCCAGCCGAAGCCAGGATATCGTGGTATGCAGACTATGCTGCATCTCCCAATTCGAAAATCGTACACTCCCAAGATCCAACAGATATCGTGTCAGCAACTAGATGACTCAAACAAAATAGCAACACATATACTGCCATAGCTCCACACATACATGCCCTCGCCCGAACCTAGGAAACCACTGATGCAAAGAGCGGAGGACAGCAAAAGGGTTATTTCAAGCCCAGCCGAAGCCAGGATATGGTGGTATGCTGCATCTCTTAATTTGATAATCGTACACTCCCAAGATCCAACATTTTCGATATATCTAGTACTGTACTGTGTAGACTACTAGTAGCAGTAAATCCAGGTTATACCCACCCGTTGTCCAAACAAAGATTTGTGAGTCAAGATTTGTAATTCCGTGAGAGAAGCAGATACCACCGCCGTCGAAGGGTCGGAGGCACTGGCTGCCAGATGTACTTCTATAAGTAGTGTGTTTGTGAGCCGTCGTCCGCTGGTGGGCGAGCCCACCAATTGTCGGGCACATTAGAGAGTAGAATTAGGTACCGGGGTGAGTAGCCAAGATCTGGAACACCCGACGGGAAAAGGGCCAGGGCATGGTAGGGACGGGCATCGGCCAGGCGCTGGCAGCTGCGTAGAACTTGTGTTACCCTATACTGGCCGTGGCCAAATCGCGTGAACCTGACGTGGCCACTGCTGTTTTTTTGTTGTTTCTTCAAAGTTGTCGCCCAGGTCCAGGTTCGAGGCTCACAGCACCGCAGAAAAATCTGCGCGTCCGATGTGTGTCGACACCAAATGGATGACGGCAACAAGTTTGTCCGTGCTGCACGCAAGCGAATCTCCTCACACCCATTCATTGTACAACTCCGCCGTGGATCTAGTAACACCTCCGCTGGGGATACACAAGTCAGGTGAGAGGCAAGGGCCACAGCATCAGCAGTATGTCTCGCCTAGAGCAAAGCTTCGACTGCATGCAGTGACACACATTTTTTCTCCTGCACGTGTCCGGAACCGGATAATTGAGAAAAAAAAATCGAAGGCTCTGGTGGTGCGTCCTGCCTACGAATCCTGCCACCACCCTGGTTTTCCTCCTGCTCTCCCCACACGCTTGCCTTCAATCCTCGGTGCTGTGGGTGCCAACGTGACTTGACGAGGAGAACTCAGGTTGCGCTTACCTTCAACAGGAAAGAAACGATAAACGCCACAAGCATGTTAGACCAGACTATTTGCGTTGCCTCCTTCCAACAAGCACATTATTTTTGAGGCGGGCCTTCTGTCTATTAGCTGAGCGTTCCTCCTGAGATATTTTTCATGCTGATGATGATGAGGCCGTAATCACCCAGCGCGCTCACATCGACTAGGTCTGTAAGGTATCCGACTGCCTCGGCAGCCGCCTGCTTCATTCTTGGTGAAAAAGGAAACGCTTGCAATAGTAATCGCCTTTTTTTCCTTTCGCTGCCGGACGGACAATCCTTCTGAGATCGATCTTCATGTGATCATGTTGCGTTTTGCTATTTCGTGTAGGGTATCGCCATGTGCCCGGGTGCCTACCGGTATACTCGTTATCCGCCCCGACATCGGATAGGTCTAACACACCCGTATCGCACGCGCCCGAGTGCCTCCAACTTTACATAGCGCTGTGCTGTGCGACTTTCATACAGACAGCGCCCCCGCACTCGGGGAAAAAAGCATTTTTCTTCACTTTGTTGTGGTACGCCTCTTCACCACAAACCCCCCGTGTGTCGCCTGTTTCTGCTGAAAAATACTTCGTAGTAACAGCGTTCTTTCCTGATCACCATGCGTTTCAACTGGATATCTTCGGGCGTGGCTGCAGCATCCTTGCTGGTCTTCTCAGCCCTTCCTGCTGCCGCCCGTAAGTGCCTTCTTCCTGAGCTGCTACATAATAAGGGGAGACGATCATTGCTGGTTGCAGGCGTGTTTCAAGTGGGTGTGTTTGTTGGAGCCTGTCTCGTTCTCTCCCTTCTCGCTCCTGTCTCCCGTGGTAACCTAGAATCAGCACATGTATGCATAAATCTCTCTGTCGATCTGTCAATAAAAGTAAGTCATGCAATCAAGGGTCTGTGCGAAAAAAAATTGAAGGCACATGGGCCTACTAGTCGAAAATGGGGGTGATTTAGGGGGGGGGGGGT